TGGTGCACTTGGAGACGAATAGGAATAACCTTTTTTGTCTTTCTTCTGATCTCAACATTCTCATACATGGGACATCAGTGAATGAGGGATGCAATAGGAGTTCGTAACAATAAGCGAAAAACCGGATTAATATCTGTTCCACAAAGGATTCATAAAACACATTTTTTCTTCACATTTGTGAACGAATACAGCTGGATTTGAATTCTAGAGCAAAGAGTTTCAAGAGATCATGAAAAATGGGCATTTTAAGAATGGACAAGGGGGCTATTTAAAGGAATTAAATAAAATGTAATGATAATCAAGAACAATTGGATAAATAATAAAAGCAAGGAAGGCAGCGAAACATTTTATCATATTTGTTCAAAGACAATAGCATAATAAGGCGAATTAGTGCAAATGCAATATTTCTTTGAGAAGCAGGAAACTTCATAGTCTGCAGACAACTTCTCTCCCAATCTCCCAATACGCCAGCAATATTCATGCTCCATCACCCCTGAAAAATGGAAAGGAGATTTCACAGTATGAGCTACAGTAAGCATTTTCTGGCTGTCTTAGTTCAAATTTCTTTGTCTGTGTTACACCTGGATTCTAATATCCTAATAATGTATTATATTCTCATATTGCATGTTTCATTAGGAGAGAGGTTAAGGTGGAGTTTCCAAATATTCTCTGTTAAATGAATTCTTCTTGCATTCCAATTGCAAATGCCCATGCCTACTTTTAAGCAGAGGTCGCTAACAAAGGCAATGGGGAAAAGGTGTGAGATTGATTCCTGAAGCCCTGTTTTTGGTTCTTTTAAGGACTTTGATGTATTATTTTTCTATTTGTCAGCCCTAATGTATAGATTTGTAGCGGAGGAAGGTAGGGTCCATGCTGCTAACACTCCTATGTAGCGTCGCTTTTGGAAAACTCAGATCCTCTTCAAAAAATGTATTCAGGTTTCTTAACAAGAAAACCAGACCAATGCTAGTCTGTCTTCACCAAGTCTCTTGGACTCACCCTTTTGAAATGATTTGGTCTTAAGTATCATTTCTTCTTTGTGCCAATTTCGTGTCTGTTTCCAGATGCAGCCGCTGTAGTTCCTGCTTCGTCTCCTGCCTCAAGAGGTTCCTCTTTCAGTGAAATGGAATCCCCACAGAAGGAGAGATCCACGAAGGACGGTGGAGGAGCTGTTTTTCCCTGTCATTGGTCTCCATGACGTTTGGTAGTTTCCCAGTATGGTTACTTAGAGATTAAGGACCAGTAGGTGAAAGAACTAAACGGGGTCGGTGCCAGAACTACGAAGGAGACATATATGGCGCCGTTCCTATGGACCCGCCTCTAGGACTCAAGGCCTTTTTTTACCTTCTCTGCGACTTGCCACGGATCCAATGATCGGCTGTGATATAAAAATTTAGCGTAAGTTCATGTTCACACTCATGCAACTCAAAAGGGTGACGGTTGGAAGCTACATATACAGGGGATGGGGAAAAACCCCTGCAAATTTAAACGCATGCATCTCTGGTTCAGTGTCTCCATATTCTGGAGAGTTGACATGAATAATGCACATATATTTACGCATCAGAATAATACATCTCCAATTTAGGTGGTTTTGCAGAAGCAAAACTTTCACAAATAATTTGAGAAAAAAAATTTAAGAAAAGAGAAAGGACAACAAACTACCAGTATCTTCCGAGTGACTGGACTACCCTGGTCTTGTTTGTCAGCATAAGATATTTAAAAATCTGATCACACTTTGAGCAACTCCCTCTGTCGGTATTAGTTGCTCATCTGTCATTATTAACAATGTGAGGCCAGCCATAAATATGCATTTTAGCATGTCGGCATCCAACCAGCTTAAAATATTTATCCTGAAAGGCCATAGATGAAAGTGAAATGTGTTTCATTTAAATATGAAAGGAGATCATGTTTTCACAGGCATATGTACAGGGTGGACCAAAAAAAAGTTTTCAACGATGAAAACTGCAATCACTACACATATTTTCATATGGTTTAAGTCATTTGAGAGAGGAATAACTAAACTTTAAAAAAGTGTACTTATATTAGTAGTAGTAGTAACTTGATGACAGCATCCACGACTAGCCCCCCAGAACATGAACAGCATCTACAGGAATGAAAATAAATATTTGGAAAGTATCTGAAAGACGTTCATGTGCGAAGCACCTGGGAAGTTCGTGTGCGCATTGTGGCCTTCCATTCTCTATTGTGAAAAAGCGATTTCTTTCTTGTCCATGCAGGGTAGATCGCAGGTGTGCCATGAACCTACCTGAAGTACCTACATCTCAGAAGAGGAACACGCACAACCATTTTGGAAGCAGGAGTGACATCATATTCATCCGGTTTCCTACTATTTGGACAAGAATGTCTTTGATATTTTTGATGAAGTACATAAATAAATCCGATGCCAGCCGACAGTCACCGTTCATTGAATCTCATACGATTCGAGTATTTCGAATGTATTCGCATTGTGAAGAATTCGAATTCAAGAACATCATTTCATCAGCGTTTAACCCTGATATTAATGAAGTTCGCAATTGGATTTCCATTTACATGAAGCTTGGAGCGTTTCGGTCAGAATGGGTGCTGAGCCAAATGCACAAAATCCCACCCTGGGAACATTTTCTACTTTGATGCAGGAAGGAAAAAAGGGAGACTGCTGTGTGCCTGGCTGGGAATGGGGGGAATTGTCTGAGAACCCAGCTTGGCTTCTGGAGCATTTGGCTCAAGGAATTCACATGGTCGTCGCCGAGGAACAGAGCGTTCAGGCAATAAAAGGGTCACATAGCGAAAGTGGTGCCATTTTCACCATGTAATGGAATGTTGTGCATGCATGCCATTCGACGGCTCGTTGAAACGCATGTGGGAAGTGGGAGCTCAAATTCACCAAGTCGAGATGGGGATCACCTTTGGCAGGCATTAGGAGCAATTTTTGTCCCATGTTTCCTTCAGTAAATGCATTCATTTAGACAGACTATGAGCCAGTTTCTAATTTTAATTCTTTTATGAGGCATTATAACGTAACATTCGATACAGAATATTCAAAACCTGCGGCATATAATTGCCATATGGTTTTGGCGGTACGAATACACCAGAAAAACAAACATTTCTTGGCATTTTGAATGATTGAAACATTCACTCTCTAAATGAATCCCGTTGTGCGCATTCTCTGATACCTTCACGTTTATCCCTCTGATTTTTTTTTTGCACAGCAGTATTGGCTACTGCCTTTTTGCCGGCTGAGAAAAGAATGTGACGGCTATGAGTACTGGACCCGAAATTGTCCCAATCGAACGGTCTTAGGTCAACACTAAACATATCATACTCTGGTTTTCCCCTTTAGGGTCGACTTCCCTCCGTCCTTCGGATTTCGTCAATCCATTGAAAGAGAACGTGACATATTAATCTTAGGGGCAGCAATGATTTATTTTTCTCTTTTCCCGATATACCAGCACATCAAGCGGCTTAGGGCAAATAGAAAATGTATGACCAAGTGGAGGGGGAAAAGAGAGGGAAATGAGGACCAGCGAAGCCGCCACTCTCTCTTTCCACCCTGAATCCTCCAAATCAGAAGGCACGTAAAGTGCACGAGGGCTTCGATGAATGGAGAATAACAGTGTGAGACTGAGGATCATGCGTGCAGTAGTCCTGTGGCCATGATCGGATAACAACGGAGATGCTCAAACTCTGCAGTAACTCGCATGTTTTCACGACAACTCTCACGCAACTTCTAAATATATGCATTCAGCATTCAGGTCCCACAATGGCTCCTAATTGCTCAGATAATTCCACTCCACAAGCATGGCAGCATGTATCAGATAAAATCTCTCCAACTGCAGACCTATTTCAAATTTTCCTGTCATTTCTAAAATTGGCACATTGGCAGCTCCACCTATTCCTTCCTCTTTGATTTAAACCTCCTGCACCCCAACAAATCTGGCTTCGGGCACTCTTGTCAAACAGCATTCATCAAATTCGGATGATGTATAAACAAACATGGGCAATGGAAACGTATCTGGCGCAGTATTTCCTTGACCTCACAAGCGTTTTGAGACAATCCCTCATGACAGTCTCTTAGGCCATGACAGGCTCCTACCTAAATTACCTCATTATAACATATAACCGTTAGTAGTGGCTTTAAAAAAAAAATCAGTGACCAATTCAAATTCATCAAATTGTTAAACAGATCCTCAGCAATCCGCCCCAACTTCCCCATAGGAGTGCCCCAAGGTTCTGTTCTTGGTCCCCTCTTATTTACCTTCTGCATCAACTATTGGGTTGGAAAGAAAGTCTTGCAACACTTTCTAAAACTATTTATACAAATTTTCAAAGGATTGATGGGCTATGAGCTCCTGCCAACCGGTACCACCGTGATTGCCGTCGTCTACGCTGCTCGACTTCAGAAGTTGGCTGGCGTCATTGAAAAAGCCGTCATGGCGTCATTCAAACGGGTCAAAGTTCTCCTGCATGACAACGCTCGTCCACGTGTTGCGAAGATGATTCGCCAGACGATTTCGGAACCGGGCTGGGAAGTTTTACCCCATCCAGCGTATTCTCCGGACTTGGCCCCTTACGACTATCACTTGTTCCGGGCCTTCGAGAATCACCTGCGAGACAAGGCCTTCGACGATCGAGCACAGCTCGAAAATGATGTCGGCCGTTTCTTCGCTACGCAATCGCCAGAGTTCTGGGCAAAAGGCATCGAGCAGTTACCCGTGTGTTGGGAACATGTTATAGACAACAATGGTCATTACATTGTAGACTGAAATTGCATTTAAATAAAGTTTTTAAATTTTGAGAAATTTGCGCAGTGTTGCAAGAATTTCCTCTCTGACCCAATATTTTCTTTTGATTGTCGAAAGTGAAGATTCAACTGAATGAGAATATGAAGAAACATCAGATGATGAAAGCGGAGACGACGGAAGCGAAGACAGAGATTCACTGAGGTGGTTATTGTGATGTACGTACCTGGACTGGGTCCACGTGGCCGAGGAACGCCCTCCCTTTCAATCTTTGGTTCAGAACGGATTCCTGGTAAGTTTTGGTAACAGCAAGAAGAGAATCGTGGAGACGTCCTTCTTTGAAGAAGTCTTGTCAGAGAAGCGATTTCAAGGCGAAGGGGAAGACCTTCTCTCTCCAGAGGTGTCTTTCCAGAGGTTGCCTGTGGGAAAATGTCAAGTATCGCATGAAGAGTTCTAGTATATTTTAACAATTCACTCCCTGATACCTCTTAATTGGCGCGATGCTCCGACACCTCGCTTCATCTGTGGGAAGTTTTCCTTTTCTAAATTACTAAGATAGATGGTGGCTGCCGCAATAGCGCCGTTGTGGAGCCAACATGGGCAGCCCAGTACAATGTTGGCCCACATTCTCTCAATCGCAGCCAGTACGGGGCGTAAGACAAGCATCGCAAGTACCAATCATGGCAAATTCTAACATAAGCCATTGAGATTTCGGAAGGGACTCAGTGTCTCCCATTTCTCGCATCCTCGCACCTTATCCAGTTTAGGCCGAATTTATGATGAAATACTTTTTTCCATAAAAAAAATTTAGCTGCTCTCGTGCGCTGATCACAATAAGTCATTCAGCGTCACTCGATTCCTTTCTCTCGGTCTTGCAGAAGTAAGAAAGTTCATGTCAAAGAACTCAATGCATGTAATATTTGCTTTTTCTCGCCAATGCAATAAAAAAAACTTAATGCATCGCCTCAAGTTTTCCAATTCTTTTTAATCAGCTCATGCAATTCTGAAACCTTTCAATGACAAAAACTAACGCCTCCATATCAGTTCGATCATAAGAAAGTGGCGGTAGATTTGAAGAGCATAATCCAGGCTAATCTCCTCTAGCAAATTATTTTAAATATGTCAATTCAGCACTTGATCTCGAAATGAACGAGAAACCCATTATCATTATGATTTTTTTTCAAAATAAACGAACTCAGATTAGGAATAAAAATGCTCACTTTTCAAACAAAGCAAAGCCTACATAACTGAAATCGGCAATCCAGATTAATGAAACATCAATTGATATTACAATGTGATTCCATTTAGGGTTTAACAAATAAACAATATAAGCGGCAAAGTACCAAGCAAATATAATAAATTCAGTACGACGTAAGAAATTTCACAAATCATATTGGCATCGATTCGATTTTTGGCCTTGGAATGAAAGTGAAAAGCTCCTCAATGAAGTGAGGCATTGACCCAAGGAGGAAAACTGGGCTTTGCGATTTTTATTCGCAAAAAAAAACGAGTTCGACCGATGAAACTTTGCTCTTTTCTGTGAAACTCGATCAAATTCGAATATTATATTCACAGATATCAAGCCAAAAATGGATTTCAGTAAGAATCATAAGAGACACTCCTAGAATGACCAATTTTCAAATTCAAAATCACTTTCCCAATATTAAATTTGTGAATAACCTAGCATTATCGTGACGAGAGTTTCCAATTCATGTTCGCATGGAGTGTATTTTTGCATTGCTTCTATTTTGGCATTAGTTCAAGTTAAAACGCTCCGCAAGAAAGTAAGGGATTTACTCAGAGAGTAAAACTGAGCTTTCCGATCGTAATTAGCAAAAAAAAAACATTACTCCGCGGAGAAGGCGAGCTATCTTTGAAAGGAATATCTATAGACATTGAACGAAAACGGAAGTCGGCTGATGTCTCGAATAGTTATGAGATACGCTCAGAGAATCAGGAATTCCCACTTCCGAAGTCGCCATTAAAAAGTGACGTTTCTAAAATAACAGCCATATCGTGAAGAGAATCCAACACTAAACACCGATGAAAACCATATTCGTAGAACAAGACGTCAACATTATTGAGCATATGCCCGTTTCGCAGTGATCACGGTAAGAAAGAGATGAATATAGGGAACGCCTTTCTTTATCGAATCCATTGCTTTTCCGCTCAAGTTCACGCCAGGCGACGCAAAGTAAGGAAAAATTCGAAATGTTTCCCCCCTCGTGGCAAAAGCCAAGTGAAAAAATGATGACACAAAGCTTGATTGCGGATCCCGAACCAGACCCAGAACGGGATCCTGATCCAGATGGAGAATGATGCTAAAAAAAAAAGCTGCACTAAAAATAAGCACGTTTATTATATGAGAACGGCGTCCTCCGGAATGCCTTCGGCCAGAATTATATTTGGGCTTCTTCAGGAGAGTAGGTAAAATTGGCGTCGTACTGGAAACGAGTAAAGCCATAAGAAATGTGTGAGAGAATGTTGTCGTTACAGGACTATAAGACTACAGAACCTGTGCCGTCCCCCCCCCCCCGCAAGTCGGAGCATGCGCTGTTCCAACCAAGGCCAGCTTCTCCCTGACCTAACCTGCTCCTATTCAAGGAGAGCGTTATGTACAGTATAAGTCAAGGGGGAAATGGGAGTCTCGCAGCGGAGTGAACGGAATGAAACTTAGGCCAGAGAGAAGAGGCCTCTGTGCTACGATGCCAAGTCTATGCAGCATTCCATCCGGGTTTCCATCAGACTTATTTTCTAGGCATCCAGGGCTTAACCCGGCACTGTAGCGAGAGTCTCATTTTTCCAAGTACCAATAAAGTCTGCCAGAGTCGAGAAAGCTTGGAAGAAGGGATGAGGGCTAGGACAGACTCCCGTTATTGGATAGGTCTCTGGTCTACCGAACTGCACGAACCACGAACCGCCACTGGTGTAATCATGTAGATCACGAAAGTTCTCCCAAAAACACACCTGTCCATATGGTATTCGTGTGACCTAGGCCGTTCCGGATCGGTCTGTGGAATAAATTCGGCATCGTTTGTCACGTTTCCATGCAGAAGTCCTCAGTCGACAGTGCA